ATTGTATTGCTTGTGCTGGTGATGTGTTTAAAGGTTAGCAGTTCACTTCTTCTACCAATAAAGTTATTACAGAAATAATTTTAAAATAATGTTATATGCCAGACTGATAGTGATTATTCCATAATATAACTGTATGCAAAAATTTAGGAAATTTAGAATTTTTAAAAATTGGTTTTATAATTTTTCTTGTAGCTTGTACAATGAAGCCTTTTGATCCTTAAGGTCAAGGTCAGTTGTAGGGGGCAAAGGTCACCCCCTTTATGTTTACCCCTGCCATAACTGATGTTAATTTTGGGGATGTGATGTTTTTGTAGTTAATCGCTATCCAAGTAAAACTATGTGCATCCGCCAAAAATTAAAACCCAAATTTCCAGTTAAACAATAATTATAAACATTATAGCACAAAATTTATGAGGGCTGTAAATTTTGTGAATTTGCCTAAAAATCTATTTGCTGATTTAGTTTTTGCGAATTTACACCATCTGCTGTCTTGTACCCTAAAAATTTGATTGTTTTGCAATCTTCAAAAAATTGCAAAATCTGCGAAAATTACAACCCTTGAAAATTTTGCACTATACATCATAATATTGAGAATATACACGTGTACTGTACTTTGACTTTGAGAGAGTATGTGTTATTATTACATGTATCATTTTGTTTTTACAGCTGTCAGAGTTAAGTGGAGTTCCTGTTGAGTATATCTATTATTCAGTGGTTAGTCATTGAAACATACACTATTTAATGCTCTCTCTGATTGTATTAGGGAATATCATTTCCAGTTGAGATATCATGTCTTGATATTGAGAAAATGCTGAACTGGTATTCCATCACTTCATACAGATACTCATCAGGACTATATGATGGATGTGTCATATATTACAAGTACTAATGAACACACACACATTATGTATACACACACACTTACATACACCTCTTACTGTTTATAATTATTTAGAGACAATAGAGAGAAGATGAAGAAGTTAACAGATAAAGAGAGATCAGAAATACAAGAGGCAGAGAGAGCAAGGTCAGTAGACCTCATGTATCATCATGTACATGTACTATCAGTTAATGTCTACATATTTACATTACCGTATAAGTGGTTTTTTCGAGGGTTGCAAATTTTGTGGATTTCTTCCTGATTTGTGAAAATAAAATATAATTTAATACGGTACTGCATGGCACGTGGTAGAATTCACGAAATTAATATCCGCAAATTGGAATATTAGTAGATTTTGTGAAATATATATAATTCCCTTGAAAAAACCACTTACCATGCAAGATGATTTATTGGTGGGAGTAATATTTGGCGGATTTTATGATGGCGGTTTTGTGCCACGTGCCATTGAGCATGCTCAGATTGAAACAAAATGGTGGATTTTATATTGGCGATTTCTTCATAGAACCGCCATGCAACCTCAAATATTAATTCCTCACCAATAATTCATCTTGTACGGTATACATTAGTATAATCGTTATAGTTTGATGTAAGTATAGGTTTGTTGATTAAACCATTTCTCTTTTATTCATGTTCACTTTACAGAATTATTGATTACAAATCTTCTGATCAGCTTTCATAGAGTTTAATTACAAACTTAAGATTAATGTACTCATTTTATTGTATTCTAGGTTAAAGAGGATTAAGCAAATTGAAGCACAGGATAGACAAAGATATTGGTTATGACTGAGTTTTAGATGTCATATTTTTATTTTTATTATTGTATTGCAATCCCACCAAATTTACTTGATGACATGTTATAAGAGTTGGCTATATGCATGTACAGTAAATACACTTTATTTAATTTTGTGTAATTTTTCTAGCAATTTAATTTTTATAGAGTAGCTGTCATTCTTATATTAATTATATTACAAAAGAAAT